GCTTCTATCTTCCAAGAATTCAATTATGAGACGAAGTGTCGACTTTATTCAAATATGTACTGCTAATACACCTAAAAGTAATTATGAACCATTGAGCATTTAATCTCTTCTATGCTTCAGAGTTTTTGGAAAACAAACGCAATAGAATTCTAAGAATAAAAAATACAATACTAAAGAAAAAAATTAGTGTAACTGCGAAAAGATAAGAAGATCGTAAAACATAAAACAATAGAATGAACAGGGAACTGAAGAAAAAGAAGATAAGAGAATCAACATACCCAGAAAAACTCAAAAGAAGATGATCACCAACATAAAAAACAATAATTAAATTTCAAGAATCAAATTCAACAATGAAACAGATTGTGACCAAAATATCAGAAGTCCATAAAAAAACAAAAGCTACCAATAGTTGAAAAAAAAAGTGAATTCACCTCATTACACAGTTTTAGCAACACTAATTACTACATATGAAAAAAAAAGCCCAATTTATACATTGAAAGCTGCGCGTTATAGTGACCTCGGAAAACCCCTTCTATTAACAAAATATGTAAAGAGTGAGGATGTGAGAAAAAAATGAAATTCATAATCCTGAGAAATAACTTATTATACCGGGGGACAATACCTTTGTAAGTAATCACCTAACCTTCATTAGCCATGGATTCAATGTATTGGAAGAGAGATCTTATCCAAAATCACGGCCGATGTTGATGATTTGGTGAGACGGCGCCGGCCGTGTGAGAGAGATGATGGAAGATATGTTAGGGTTTCTTTTTCTCTCACTTTTATTCTGCCTCATGACTTTTTTTAAAATATACGGGTCGGGTCAGGTCGGGTTTTTTGGTTCAATCCGCAACCCGACCCGCCTTCATCACCCAAAACTCGAGCCCAACCAAAAAAAGAAAAAAAACCGACACAAACCGGTTGGTTCGGGTTGGGCGGGTTTTTGCTCACCCCTAATCAAAAGAAGGCTCAATATCACCAACAGTAGTAATTGGAAGAGTACTGCCATTAGCAGTCTGAATGTGTTGTGTACCTGTATAGAGTCGAATGTTGTGCAAGGAATCAGAACTACCTATTACACGATTCGACGTCCTTGAATAAACACTTAGGAAAAGAAATAATTTGACCCTTACCTTATAGGCCTAAGGCAAAGAAGGCGAAAACAATCATCTAATGAACTATTTTCAGGGTATAAATCGGCTGTCTGGTGCTAGTTTGTGGAAGTGTGGGAATAGGACCCTGATCATGAGCTTTTCAATTATGAGATCGTGTGGGACACAACTTGATAATATGGCCTAGTTGCTTACAGTAATTTTAGACTTTTTGAGGATAATTAAGAGTAATATGACTGTATCCTTTGCAGCGTTATCATTGAAATTTACCCTTTCTCAGCCCTTGGACAACATATGTAACGGTCACCATATCAAATTAGGATATATCAGCTCCCGTGATAGCTTGGGTAGCCATATGTGGCTCCTCACTTAAAAGTCCACCTAAGCACACATCCAAAGAAGAAAATGGATCATGATTTAATAAGCCTACCTGAGCAACTTCAAATTCAGGTCATATAAGAAACTCATCCCACTTATTAACCTCTTGAGCATCTTGTAGTCCTGACAAGGCCACCGCAAGGGCCTTAGCATGAATTATTTCAGAGTTCTCACTCGATAAGTTCTGAAAACCAGAATAATATTACCAAATAGTAAGATTACCTTGTGTGTAGTTGGCAATCTGTAGCTTCAACTGAAATCTCCATGCGTTATTGCCTTGCTAATAAATTTGCTTTAAGTACTCTCACATCTCTTTTGAAGTAGTGAAAGAGCGTAAATTATTTATCATGTGTGCCTCCATAGACCCCAAAATCCAAGGAAAAATCCAAGCATCCTTCGTTTCCCTTACATTGTGATCCTTAACATCTTCAAGTGGTTTAGACAACCCATCAATATGACCCAAAAGCTTCTTCACTTTTAAAAACATCTTAAATTAAAATTTCCATATGAAATAATTCTTTCCCGTAAAATTAATACAAATGACTTCAATCGACATAGCTCCTTACTGCAAAGAAATTACTTACACAAACATACCATACTGCAGAAGACTCAAGAGCCCGACAACCCGCTGAAAAAACCAAATGCACTAGACACATCGAAGGGTCGAGAGAGGCAAAAAGTTTCAAATCCAATCACCAGAGCTTTGTCACCACCACGAATATTATAGACCGATCAAATTGCAAAAGCCACACACTTCAAAGAAGATCGCCCAAGTTACTTGCTGATAACAAAATCAAAAGTCCAACCAGAAACCACTAATGCTAGCAGATCGACCCAAAAACTCCGAAGGGTCGCACCACCCTTGGAGCACTGAAGCGTCAGACATTGATGAAGATTTTGTCAATCGTCAACCACCATGAGGAAACCCATACCATGGGAGGCTAAGTTATGCTAAGATCGAGAATTCAATATGAAGCTCACGAGATAGTCTTTGATACCATGACAAACTTTTGGCTAAATAATTTTCTTGCGAAGGATTTCCTTGCATTATATAAGAAGAGTACAATTTATACATAATTATGGTAATATAAACTACAACATTTGTCAAGCCGTAATTTTCGTTGATCTCATTGACACTTTTGTGTCTATATCAGTAATTGGTTATGCCTTTGGACGATTCCAATTAGAAAAAAGGAGAAAATGAATGAAAATAAAGCCAATGAACATTTGAACACCTCGTCGTGCATGATATCTGATAAGTACATTTTTGTGCACTTATTCGGGGCCATTTTAATAAGTTTTTGTGCCGTTTTATTATTGCATTTTACTTAACTTAGATTATTTTTATCTTGTTTCAGTTTTGGACCAATTTCGAAGCAATTGGAAAAAGAAAGAATGATAAATTGGCCAATTGATGAAATTTTGGGGACTAACATGCATATGGGTAAAAGTTGAAGTACTACAATTGAAGTAATTTGATGAGGAGGACCAAGATGGAAGAAAGAATGAAGAAAGTGGCGAAAAAAAAAAGTGGCGAAAATTTAGCCTCGGCAACCGCCCATTTATTTTGCCTGGGCGGCCGCCCAACCTTCAAGATCATTAACAGAACAAAAATAAATAGCCTGGGCGGCCGCCCCATTTTGTACTGGGTGCTCGCCCAGGCCATTTTGGGAAAAAATTCTGGTTTCCTAATTTGACTACAACTCTTATGGAAACGAATCTTGGGGGGTATTTTAAAACCCTAGGGCCGTCCAAAAGTGAGGAGGGAGATGGGAGAAGACTTTTGAGAGAAGAAAAGAGGCAAGAACGCGAAGATCAACTCCAAGAACACGAAGATCCAATTCAAGAATCGAATTGGTGATGTCGTTATTTATTTATTTTTTTGATTTTCTTCTTCTCACCATACTAGGCTAGATTAATTCTGTGCTAGGACTAGATGAACTATGTAATATGATTTTAATTCTTAGTTTTACATTTGTGACAATAAAAACACGTTTTGGGATATTTGAATGATTTATATGAATTTATTTTTCTTCACAATTATATGCGCAATGATTGTGTGAGTTTAGTTGCTTATTTCATGCATTCGAAAGAAGGGGAATATGTTCGACATATATAAATTATCATAGGGTCCGATAGATGATAGAAATATACCGCTATGCCTTATGTGAATCTTTGAGTGTTCATAAAAACTCATGCATTCTTGTATGTTTGCATCCGTCATAGAGATATAGTCGGGTCGCATATTTGAATAAGTTTAACTTTACTCGAGATAGATTGTTAGATAATTTAGGCGCATTGATTCTTCTTTATTCCAACCGTGTGTCAAGGTGTGAAACTAGGTTTAAAAAGATTATTACATAGAGATTCGCGATCCTAGTACATTTATCACATATTAGAAAAACTCAAATTTATATTCATTGCCAAATTGCATTTAGTTAATTAATTCATTCATATTTGCATATTTAGTATTAAATTAGTTATAAATTTATCAAAACAAACATTCTCATCTGCTTATAGTTTCGGTTAAGGTCACGGTAATTAGAATTAGAACTAAGCAATCTTCGTGGGAACGATATTTGGACTCAAAATCCATTTTACTACTTGTTGACGAACCATACACTTGCGGTGATTTTAATTCAACATATTTTCGTGAACAATATCATAGTATTTATTGACAAACTTTCAGAAGACTGTTTACTTTTTTATCTTTTTTTCTGTTTTTGTCTACTATTTTTTACCAGTTATAGTAAACTCTCATGCCTATTATCACTCTTATATTCAAACTGTTAATGCAGAAAAAGTTGTTTTTGATCAGTAACTGTACCGATCAAAGACAACCTTCAACTTTGATGAGATTGAACTGAATAGTGAACTCCGTGGAAGGTAGCTAAGCGTTTACTCTATTCATACTTTATATTCACAGAATTCAACCTGTTTTCTTTATGCATTTTCTGGTTGAAGTTCAAATTAGACTAAAGCCTCCTCCATCTCCATTATCTCATTACAGATTCTGTTCACTTTTTCACTTGGTGTTGTAGTACTATTTTACTAAATTATATTTCTTGTTCTCCTAGTTAACCTGTGATGGTTATTTTGTAGGTATTGATTTTTAATATGAACCAGAGCTCCTATTATCTAGCATAGATTTCATAACACGATAACAATCACAAAAATGTATCTGGTTGTTTCCATCTGTACTCAATAACGGAACAACAAATATGTTTTCAAGAAAAATGGTGCAAAAATAATTGTTACTGAAAATGTGTGGACCCTTTGTCATCCTTTTGTTATTATGTCATTTGTATCTGTGATTGGCTTTAGAATAAAGGGAAAAAAAACAAGGAAAAAGAAAGAGATTTTCCAATTTGAACTTAAAATTACATTTCTTGAAGCATTAGGCAAGTATTGTTTTTGATTCATAAATTAATCAAAGCTCTTGCTTGAAATATCCTTAAATCATTTGCTAATGAGAATTGAGAATAGTCGAGTGTTCGAGGGACAACTATTCTATCTCGATGGAATCGTAGCTTTAATCTTTTGCAGTCTGGCCCCAACTTCCCTCATATTGATTCTTTCCGTTGGAGAATCAATCAAACAGTCAATCGCCAAAGACAAAATGGAAGAGACACATTGCTCCTTTCTGGAGAAATTCTCGTCTCCTCTTCCAAGCAAATTGGTGTCCACAACTTCAATTATTCTATGCTCATCTAATGACTGACTAACCCAACTTTTCAAGCTCATTTGTTCATCAAACATCTCATCTGTCGGCTTCTTCCTTGTATACATCTCCAGCAGCATCACTCCATAACTGTAGACATCGCCACTTGTGGATACTATTCCTTCAGCTCCGTATTCTAAATCCGCATTAAACATTCTTAAGATTAGCTGATAAACTCAAAAAGGTGACAGTGAATTAAAGATATCCCAAATTTATATAGACAAATATAAATCTCTAACTTTTAAAATTTTAAACAAGGAACATTACCTGGTGACATATATCCAATTGTTGCTAAGGTCTTTGTTTGAGAAATTAGCTCCCCTTCACCAAAGAGTTTGGCTATACCAAAATCACCAATGTGGGCAACCATATCTTCATCAAGAAGGATATTGCTAGGCTTTAAATCACAGTGAACAATGGTGAAAGTATGACTGTGATTCAGATATTCTAAAGCTAATGCAACATCAATGGCTATATTTAATCTTTTTAGAATGTCCAAGAAAGAGTTGTGGGAATATAACCATTTCTCAAGGTTCCCATTGGGCATGTTCTCCAGTATTAGGGCTTTGAACTCTATACTGCTGCAACATCCAATGATTCTCACTAAATTCCTATGGCGAGTGGTGCTTAGTACCTGACTTTCTGTACCAAAGCTCTTAGTTGCTCTTGCTTCTTCTGACTCCAAATTGAAAACTTTTACTGCAATGTTTAGTCCATCAGAAAGTGTCCCTCCATATACTGTACCAAAACTTCCACTTCCAAGTATGTTGCTTTTGCGAAAGCCATTTGTTGCATCTCGAAGTTCTCGATAAGAAATCCTTCTCCATTCAAGCTGTAATGAAATTTCATTCTCGGTTGCATGTTTATTCAATTTCTGTCTTCTTACCACCAAAAGTGTTATGATCACTGCAAGGATAACAGATATGATAGGGGCGAGAATATATTTCATTAATGAAACCACATTCTTTGACCTTGATCTTTTGAGAGTCTTTCTACAATGTGGAAATTGTATTCGTTCTTCACTGCAGAGAGCATAGTTCTTCATAAATGATTGACTAGTGAAGTTCGCAAAATTACCCCCAGTTGGAATCTCTCCTTCTAATCTGTTGTGAGCAACGTCAAAATATTGTAGATACTTAAGTGTTTCTAATGACTTTGGAATCAATCCTGAAAAATTATTATATGACAGATCTAAGGATTCCAAGCTTATTATGTTCCCCAGAGACTCCGGAATTTTTCCTGCAAATTTATTATGTGCAGAATTTATCAAAACCAGAGATTGTATTTTGCCAATGGAGCTTGGGATCTCACCTGAGAAGTGATTCCAGGATAAGTCTAGTTCTCTGATGACCTTCAAAATTTCAATCTCAGAAGGTAGAAGGCCACTTAAACTATTATGAGACAAATTTAGTTGTAGGAGATCGTTAAGGTTCCAGAAGTTTAATGGTACAGTGGATTTCAATTTGTTGGAGTCTAAGTAGACTCCTCTCAGGTACTTCAATTCACCCAAGCATGGAGGAATTGATCCAGAGAGCATATTGTCACTCAGGTACAAGTGCCCCAAATTGCTTAACTGGCAAAGCTCAGCAGGGATATATCCATCTAGTTTGTTGTGTTGAAGATATATGCGTTGAAGACTTTTTAATTTTCCAACTGTTCTGGGGATGAATCCTGTCAACTGATTGTTATCTAAATATAAATCTTCCAAGCTTCTTAAGTTTCCAATCTCGGCAGGGATAACACCACTAATGTTGCATTCAAATGCTCTCAATATCCGAAGAGAAGTTGATAAATTCCCAATGGAAGTTGGGAGGACACCACTTAGCTTATTTGCAGCTACTTCAAGAATCTCTAAATCCTGGCAGTTCGTTAACGAAGAGAACAATCTCAAAGATTCACCAGTCAAGTTATTTCCTCCCATCGCAAGGCGTCGTAAGAGTCTTAAATTACCAAAGTCGGGTATAGTGCCAATAAAAGAGTTACCAGTCATGTCTACAATAGTAAGCTTAGAAGAATTGGTGATAGAGCTGGGAATTACTCCACTGAGTCTGTTGTCAGCCAGATGAAGTAATTCAAGATTTGGAAGTGAAAGTCCCATGGTTGAAGGAAGATGGCCCGAAAAGTTATTGAAAGAAAGTCCCATCATCAATAAAGTAGATATGTTGAATATGGAAAAGGGAATGGGGCCCATCAAGTGATTGTCAGCGACATTAATTTCCACAACATTAAGATTGCCAAGCTCAGCGGGCAATTCACCTGCCACAATATATGTTAGTTCACCAACCTTCATCATCATTTAGTCAAATTTCACTAATTGACTGTGTTTTGAAACAACTGAATTATAAAAAGGTCAATAAAAAGAGTGAAAATAATCATTTGTTGATCGTAAATGCATAGAAAAATAATCTTCAACAATTTTTTTTTTATTTTTTTGTAAAGATAAAGAGTAAGAGAGGTAAGAAAACAAGGAATCTTGTGATTTCACATCTATTAAAATAAAGATGAAGAAGACGACGACGATGATGATGATGATGTGATGCAGGAGGGTCCGAATCAGATGTTAAGTTGTCAGATAACACGTTAATGGCTCTAAGGTATCACGAGTTAGCAGATCGGCGCAAGGATGGCAAGTGATCGCGTAACTTTGGTAATTGAGTCGTGTTTCGGTAATTTGACCATAACTTTGGCTACTGTTATCAGAATCGCAATTATAACCACAATCCGGAAAGCTCGTTTTGGCGCGCACGTCATGGCCACCAAACTTTCCGAATTGTGCCGTTTTCATCCTCAGATTCCACTATTTTCCCTTCCAAATTTCTATTTTTAGTTAAATTTTACTATTTTTGGTAATAGTTAGATTGCATGTTAGGAGGTGATTTTTAACTCGATTTGGGCTATATTTTTCGCAGACTACTTATTTTATTCCATATTTTCGTTTAGCGTGATTTTTGAAATTTTGCCATTTTTGGTAAAATTTGAATTTTTGCTATAAAGTCCGACTTGTGGACTTATTTTGATGATTGCGTGATATAATAAAATTCTCTAAACTTCATATACGTTTTCTCTGTGTTTTTTGGCGTTAATATTGTGTTCTTCCCTATGAATTTGCTGGTAGAACTAGCCTGTAATCACTATTTTGTCGCATTGTTGCAAATTTTTAGAATTCTCTAAACTAACTTGGGAAATAAGAATAGTTTAGGGATTAAAGAATTATCTAGAATTCAATAGAGATTCTTGGGAAGCAAGCAAAATCAAAATATAAAATAATGAAAATATCAGAAAATTCTAAAATTTCTTAAGTACCAAGTAAAATAAAACAATGAAAAAATAAGAATTTTCTAGAGGCAAGCCACCAACGTTTGTATGCTATAAATCGGGGTTTTCACTTCAATTGTTGGGTGTAGAAGTCTAAAAGTATTGCCATTGTAAAAGTTTCATTCCATTGTAGGGATGGCAAAATAGCTCGGTGGCTCGGGCTCGGCTCGGCTTGGCTCGGAAAAAGCTTTAGCCGGGCCCAGCTCCAGCTCGGGCTCGGTTACATCGAGCCAAGGATCAAGCCAAGCCTCATTTTTTTGGTCGGGCTTTGCTTGGCTCGGGCCCAAAAAAGCTCGAGCCGAGCCCGAACTTTTTTATTTAATTTATAGTACGTATAAACCGTACAAATTTTAAATTTTTTAAGTAAAAATGTAGATTTGACATTAAAAAAAAAAACCTGAACGGCTCGATCCGAGCTCGGCTCGATCTGCTAAGGCTTGGGACCGAAAAAGCTCGGCCTAAAAAGCTCTGCTCGGGCCCAAAATAGCTCGGCCTAAAAAGCTCGAGCCGGGCCAGAGCTTTTTTTTTCGGCTCGACTCGTTGACATAGCTATTCCATTGTAACATTCTATTTTTCAATAAATTAAATTTTCCTCCTTCAATTATCTTGTCCAATTTAAAATTACTCCCTACTATTTTTATCTTATAAAATGTACTTCACATAAACTACCAAACATTTTCAATCTAATTTACTTATTTCTCCTACCAACTATAAAATATCATCAGTGGTATCAGAGTTTCGTTTGATTGATATTGGGCATAAGCATATACTACGACTGACAAATTCCGTTCATCAATTCCTATCCCTACATTTAATAGAGACAACTATGATTTCTGGTCCATTAAAATGAAGACCTATTTTTGTGCACAAAATTTATGGGATGTTGTCAACAATGGGTATACTAACCCAGATAACATTTCCACTCTAACTGTTGCACAAAAGAAAGAACTTAAAGAGAATCAACAAAAAGACTCTATAGCATTACTACAAATTAGCGTGACAAACACTTATTTTCCAAGAATTATGGGAGCTAAAATGACAAAAGAAGCTTGGGATAAGCTGAAGGAGGAGTTCTACGACAGTGACCAGGTACATACTTGTTGTCTTCAAACTTTAATAAGGAATTTTAAAAATCTAAAAATGAAATATTCCGAAATTACAAAAGATTATTATTCAAAAATAGATGAAATGGTAAATCCACTAAGATCTTATGGAGATGATGTTCCTGAAAAGAAAGTTGCTGAAAAAATTTTAATTACTTGCATAGAAAAATATGATCAAATTATTATGGCTATTGAGAAGTCTAAAAATATAGATAAATTAATAGCGGCAGAATTAATGGGTTCATTGGAAGCTCGTGAAAAAAAAAATTAGAAAGGCGTTATGAAATTAACACAGAAAACGTTTTTCAATCTAAAGTTAATATGCGGTTTCAGAAGTTCAAAGAAGATGGGAGAAAATTTAAAGAAAATTATAAATATAAAGAAGCTCAAGGAAAAGAAATTCATAATAACGGCAAGTATCCTCCATGTGGCGTTTGTAAAAGAAAAAGTCATTTGGAAAAAGATTGTTGGTTTATAGGAAAACCATAGTGTCGTAACTGTAAAAAATTTCAATACGAAGAAACATTTTCTCGTTTTAAACAAATTTATCAAGCTAATTTATCTAAAAAAATGATATAGAAGGAAGTCTATTTTATTCTTCCAACAAGGATGTATTTGAAGAGAAATTAGATACATGGTATCTAGACAGTGGCTGCAGTAATCACATGATGAAAAATGAAAGTACTTTCTGCAATCGTGATAAAATAAATACAAAAATGAAATTGAGCAATGAAAATTTTATAGAGGCAACATGCAAATGTATTATTGCCGTTGATACAAAAAATGTCAACAGATACGTCAATGAAGTTCTCTTGATCCCTACAATAGATCAAAATCTACTAAGTGTAGGACAGATGATGGAGAAAGGATATACTTTACATTTTGAAGGAGATTATTGTACAATCTATGACAAGAAAGATAAATCCCTTGTAATTGCAAAAGTCAAGAAGCGGGAGAACGGATGTTTTCCAATCCAATGGAGATATACAAAACAATGCGGCAATGACGACACAAGTGGATGAGTCATGGTTGTGGCACAAAAAAATTGGACATGTTCACTTCCGTGGGTTAAAGATCTTGCAGCAAAAGAACATGATGAGAGACTTACCAATCATAAAAGGGATTGATGAAGTTTGTGAAGAATGTTTGCTTGGGAAACAACACCGTCAACCATTTCCGTCCGGAAAATCTTGGAGAGCCAAAAAGACATTAGAGTTGGTACATACAAATTTATGTGGTCCAATGTATACTCCATCACATGAGCAAAACATGTACTTCATTCTTTTCATAGATGACTACACTAGAATGACATGGGTATATTTCTTGCGTGAGAAATCC